GGAGGCGCGCTCCCGCGGGCCTCAGGCTGGGCAGGGGCCGGCGGGGAGCGCGCGCGTCCCCGCACTTCCGGCGAGCTCTGCGCCGGCCGTGATTAGGCCCGAGGGGGCGAGCGCGCGCCCGCCCAACCAATGGGCGGCGGTGGGCGGGGGCGTCGCGGGCGCGCGCGCGGGCGGGGTTCGCGCGGCGGGCGGGGCGGCTGCAGCCTGGTCGCCGCCCGCGGGCCTGTCCGCCTCGCCCCGCCGTCCCCGCCGCCGGCAGCCATGTGACCGCGCCGCCGCCTTCCGCGCGCCCGGCCCGCCCGCCCGCCGCCGTGCGTCCGCGGCCCGGCCGCAGCCCAGGCCGCCGAGGGAGAGCGGCGGGGCCGGCGCCATGGCCGAGCGGGGCCGCCTGGGCCTGGCCGGCGCGCCCGCCGCGCTCAACACGCCGGTGCCCATGAACCTGTTCGCCACCTGGGAGGTGGACGGCTCCAGCCCCAGCTGCGTGCCCAGGTACGCCCCGCCGCGCCCGGCCGCTTTGTTCCCGCGCGCACCTGCCGGCCACCCGGGGCGCCGCTCCGGGACCTGGCGCCCCGGATCCCGCCCGGGACCCCCATCCTGCCGTCGCCTTTGCGCCCCTCCTCCGGCGCGCGCATTCCCTGCGAGGAGCAGCCCCTGACCCCGCCGCGAGGGCCCCCGAGGTCCGGCTGCGGCGGGAGCGGGTGGTGCCGGCTTCTCAGGCCCCGCGGCCTCCGAGCCGCGGGCGCCCTCCTGGGCGCTCGGAGCCGCATCGTCGCGTCTGCCTGCCGATGCGGGGCTCGTGGAGTTGGCTCAGGGTGCCTCTCGTCTCCACCGGGTACCACACAGCTCCTTTTGCGTCCAGCCACGCCGGCGAGCCTGAGCGCCTGGGAGTGACCCGCAGGGTGCGACTCACAAGCCCGCGACCGCTGTTGTACCGCTTCGTCCCACACATGCTGTCGTCCTGGGCTTGGGGGTCTGGTGCCCCTCGCGCTGTCCCGGCCCGAGGTCATTTGCCCTCTGCCATTTGCCCTGTGCCGCCGCATGTAGAGAAGCTTCTTTGCATCTGTGGGGCAGACTGCGCTTTGCCCTGGGCTCTCAGTTTTGCCCTGGCCACTTGGGGAAGAGCCGTTCCCCACTGGTAGCGGCTGGACGAGGTTCCCCACGGCCCGTGCTGGGCGGACTCCACTCAGACCCACAACTTCCCTGTTTCTCCTGATGCTGCGGTCCCAGCCTCCGGGGCGCACAGACAGCGGGCCCCGAATCCAGACCTGCACTCCGGCCCTTCTGGAGTAGGCCCGGCAGTGGCCGTGCTCTGTCACAGTTCCCTCAACAGGTGTTACTGAGTTGAGGTGGTGGTGGGGGGACACAGGGGGCACTGGCCAGTGGGGTTTGCCCTCCTGCAGCGCAGGGCTTTGCTGTGCTGTGGAAAGGATGGGCACCCGGCACCGCTCCCAGGTGCATTGTTAACGTGCGACGTGAGGGCTGGGTTTGGGGCCGAGGGCTCTGTACCCGTCTGCTTGCCTCCCTTTGGAACATTTCTGGGCCTCAGAGCCGAGGTCAGGAGCCTCCCCCTGCCCAGTCCCTCTCCCCTTCCTGTCTTGGCAGTTACCACAGCACCAGGCCCCACAGCAAGGGGTCATCCTGGACGCCCCCCGCCCCCAACACCATGCTTCTCCCGTCTGTTCCCCTCTGCACTGTCGCCGGTGCCACCACCCCCGGACCTCTTGTGCTAGCTGCCTTTCGTCGGCGTCCCGGAGTCCCTGCCTGCCCCCCTCCAGCTGGACGTCCTGCAGACAGTGCGGAGCATAGCCTGTCTTTGCTGAGCCCTTTCAGCAGCTTCCCGTGGCTCCCCAAAAGACTGCTGAAGTGTTAATGGGGGTCTAGGGGGCTGGCAGGAGAGGCCAGGTGGGCAGAGGCCACATTAAGGGGCCTTGCCAGCCTCTCGTGGACCTGGTCCAGGAAGCCCGCCCTGGTGTGTGTGCAGTGAGGGAGTGGGGCGGGTTGCCATCCGTGGGGTGGAGGTGCTGGGCTTGGGGTGAGCCAGGCCCCTGGGGGCTGTCAGGGTGGGAAGGCATGCAGTCTGTGGGTTGAACATAGAGAATGTTGGTTGTAGTGAACACCCCCTTCCTGGCACAGTGTGCCCCTCGCTGTATCTCCTGAACATGCATCTTTGGACAGGCTAGTTTCACTCGGTGGGACTTCATTTAAAAGGGGTCATGCTTTCTCCGTGGGTCACACGCCAGCTTTCCCCAGTCCCATTCCCTGAGTGGCCTCTGTCATGATGCCTGTAAGACGACAGTGTCTGCTCTGCCAGGGGACCTGTGGCCTGTTTCTAGGTTGTGGCCATCATGAAGCTACCTGTGCATGCCCCCTGTGGGCGGGCAGGCCTGTCGTTGGGCACGTGCCTGGAGTCGGGCTTTGGGGGGTGCGCTCAGTGTTACTACCAGGCGGCTTTCTGGAGCTCTTGGTGCCAACGCGGGCCCCACTGGTGGGGACTGGAGGCCTTGCCACTCTGCAGTTTTGCCAACGCTTGCTCGACTTTTAATGTTTGCCAGTCTGGTGGGTGTGAAATGGTGTTGTGGTTTTAATTTGAATTTCTCTGATTACTAATGTGGGCCATTTGTGCTTCCTCGTCAGCAAAATTCCTGCTCATCTCCTTTGCCAATTTCTCTTTTTTTTCCCTGCTTGAGTCTCGGCAGTCACTTGAGGGGAGGGTAACCCTTCCTTGGCTGCATGTGTTGAATGGGATGCGTGTTGCCCTCTGTGTGCGCAGTCTGCGATGAGTCCCGAGGTCTCCCTGTCTTTGGCCTTGGTCTTGAACCATTCCCTTTCCTGCCTGTGTTGGGGCAGCTGGTGCCTGGCCCCGGGCTGTCACTCAGGTAACCATCACAGCACCCTTCCCTGCCACCTCCAGCCCATGCCCACTGCTGGTGTTGCCTGAGCTCCAGCAGGGTCCAGGGCGCTATGACTTTTGCATGCCCCACTTCTTTTTTCCTGATGAGGTTTGCTACGTGTGAACATCTTTCATGTGCTTACTGTTCCTCCCATTTTTACATGTGCAAATCCTTGTGTCCTTGGCCCATTTGAGGAAGGGTCTTGGGCTGTGAGCGCTTGTCAGCCACCCTGCAGCCACATGGAGGGTGGCTTTGTCAATGGCCTGCTCTGTGTGCCCAGGTTGGTCCTGTCCAGCCTGGACTTCACGAGAGCGGGGTTGAACAGCCCCAAGCTCCAGGACGTGGCCTTCCTCCAGCGCAGGACTCTGAGGCCAACCTGCCCTCAGCCCCTGAGCTTGTTCCTCCGATGGGGCATGGTGTTCTGTCGCAGGCATAGACCCCTGTGTGTGGAACTGTGCCTGTCGGTGGGTGTTGGGTTGTTCCCAGTCCAGTGCTGTGTGTTCAGCTGCTGTGAGCCCTGGGTGCAGGGTGCTGGGGGCCCAGTGGCTTTGCTGCTTTTCAGTAATAGCTGGCTGGCCACAGGGCGGTGGTGTTCTGGCCTCCTGAGAAGCTGCCAGGTTTCTGAGGTGGTGGTACCACCTTCCATGGCTGCCAGCTGTCCAGTGTGCCATCCCTGCCATCAGCTGTTCAGTCCAGCCGTTCTAACGGCTGTTTGATGGCTTCTCCTCAGGGCTCTGTTCTGCACATATTGTGCATAGATGTTGAATATAACCAAACACTTTTATTAGGAGCATCGTGTGCATCTTCTCCCTTAATCACTGATGTGCTAAATAACAGAAATGGATTCCTTGGCACCAGGCAAGCCCCCTCTCCTGGGAAGATCCCAACATGGTCCCGCCATGCACCCTTCCTGTCCGACTGCAGGTTCGGGTCGCTCCGTTTTGCTTGGGACGTCAGCATTGGTGCGGAGGCTCTGTGACGTCCCCCTCGTCCGCTGCCCTCACCAGATTCTGGTGCCAAGACACCTGCAGAGTGGGCCTGCTGCACCACGGCGCGTGTCTGTGGGACCGGGGTTGCGGATTCCTTGAGTTTGGGAGAAAAACTCCATGAAATGACCTGAGCAGTGCAACTCCTGCCCTGTTTGCTTAATGTTTATAGGACACTTTTACTCACTTGGAGTTAGTTTTGAAACTACGCTTTTCTGGGAATTTGCCCATTTTGTCCAGATTTCCAAGTTTAAGGCCTGGAAGGCATGCACTTGTCTGTAGTACCCAATGGTTTCCTGAGTGTCTGTGGGATCTGTAGGGTTGCCCTTCTGTGGGCCGTGTGGGTGCGTGGGCACCCTCCGATGTGACCTGTGCCCCTGGCCAGGCTTGGTTCACTGTGGTCCTCCGCTCCTTCCGTCTTCTGCCTACTCAGGAGTGTGGGGGTGTCTTCTGGCCCGGGCGGGGTCTGTCCAGCTCCTGCCCTTCTCTGAGGCTGGGCAGTTAGGCACGTGTGTGGTCACGTTGCACGGTGTTGACCTCGACCTGGTGATGCTGCATGAGTGTGGCCGGCTTCCTCTTGGATGCGTTTGTTTACCTTTCTCTGCCTTTTCCCATTATGCTTTGCTGTGTCCCTGCGCGTCAGGTGCGTCTTCTGCACACGTCTAGATCCCATTTTCATTCAATCTCACCGTCTTTATTTTTTTAACCAGAGCGTTCAGTCTGGTGTCATTTACCTGCGTCCCCGACACTGGGTTTCATACCCACCCTTGGGTTTGTGCTGGTCATTGTCCCACCGTCAGGGCAGTTTTCCTCCTACCCCACCTGAACTTGCATTAACTTTTGAAGATGATTCTGTTTCCCCTCCTAGTTTGAAACGTGTCCCTCTTTCTGTTTCTCCATGGTTATTGAGTGGATTGTAGTTTCCATACTTGCTTTCACATTTAAAGTTAATTTTTCTTCTTTTCCTGAACAAGAGAGGGACCGTAGAGTGTTATTCTGACCCAATACCTTCATGTTCTTGTGTTTTTGTTTTGTGTACTTTGTCTTGTCTTAAGCTCATAAGAAGTCACTGTTTTATTCTGTTAAGAGCAGATTAGCCTCATCAAAAACTCACCACTTCATTCCTTCATTCTCCACGCATCTCAGAACCTAGGTCAATTTCTCCTCTTTCTGTCTGAACATGCATCTTCTGGACTTAATTTAGTGAGGACCTGCCTGTAACTAACAGCGCTTCCTGTGTCCCTGGTTGTGGGTGGAGGTGACACGTCCCCTCTGCACGTGGACGAGGCACTGTCCCTGACTCTGCTCACTGAGAAGTCATCTGTCAGTCTGGCGTGATGTGTCTGCAGGGCTTTCTTCTCCCTGTAGCTTTAAGATCCCCTCTCTGGGGCCCAGGGGTGGTCTCCTTGGCCCCCGCCCTGCAGGGGTTCCTGGCTCCCTGACTCTGTGGGTCTGTGCTTGGCACGGGCTCTGCGAAGTCCTGGTTGCCTTCTGTGGTGTGGCCTCTGCCCTGCTCTCCCTCTCCTGGACCCGGAACTTCAGCCAGGCTGTGTCAGGGCCTCCCGCCACGCGTTAGCGGAGAGTGGCCGGCTGGGCAGGCTCTTGTGTCCCT